ATTTAGAAGGATAAAATTTATAGGAACATAAAGACCAGTTGATAACTGTATATCCTAAAGTCTAAATAAAACAAGATTAAGCTAAAGCACATATTTTTGACAATAAATATAATTTGGGGTTCTAATAATATGAAAATCATGAAATATTACAAACCTCAAAACTTCTTGGATAATAATATGGTTCCCAATAACATCTTTTACCTAAATTTTTTGTCACTGCATTGGTGTAGTGTCAACATAATTTAGAAAATGAACGAAGAGACTCAAGTAGTAGTTGATGGTCAAACACTGTGAGTCAAGGGAAGAGATGTCAAGGTCCAAAAGGAGCCTGAAGATGAATTCCTGAGTTTCCTACTAACTTTCCTAAGAAAGTCATCTCGGAGCCAATCCTATGTTTTCACTGAAAATATTCAAGTCATTGTCCACAGATCACCTTATAGGAAGTATCCTTTACCCTGCATCCATTCTGTACAGCGATATGGATTAAAATAAAGTCATTATTTTAAAAAAACTTCAAAATGTCCTATCTAAGACAAGCAAACACAAATAGCTAAGGAGGATGCTATAGGTAAGAGGAGGTGGAGTGATGGCTTCTGCAGGGAATAGAGAGAGAGACCCTGGAGTTCATGCAGATTCACAAATGAGGTTTGACTGTCATCCTGGATAATCTTCATACAGAAGAGGGAGGAGCGATTGTTAAACATCATAACAACTGGGCTTGTTGTTGGTTGTGCTCTTTCATTAAAGGAGGGGAAAGCAGGGTCTTTGAACCCTCACCACATTATCCAGCCACTCTTCCCACCCAACTCTATGTAATTTGGCCCTAATCACACATGGTCTCCTGGATTTGGGGAGGGCTAAAGTATACAATCTGGGGAAGGCTAGGAAGAGAAGGCTTGACTCATGCTGGGAAAAGGCTTTCCAGTGTGCATACCCTCAGGTCATTCATACACCTCAGTTATCTCAGTAAGTAAGCTCAGTAAATTCATTGGCTAATCAGTAAATCTGTAATCAAACATGGTTTGACACTAGAAACTTAAAAGGGAATAAGCATTGCTTAGTATCCCCAGGAAAAGAATGCTCACAACCAATGGAAAATTTATTTCTTAATGTTATTATGTCTCATAATTACTTAAAAAATAAAATGAGAATAAAAAAAATGTTAAAAGGATATGGGAATGGAGATATTTTCCAAAACAGAAAGAAAAAAAATGAGAAAGCCTAAGCAAGTGATGAAGCTTTGTTTAAGTTTCTTATAATATGGAAACAATGAGACAAAAAGAATATTCACATAATCTTAAAATTTCTAAGGTCATAGCTTATTCAACTAGTTTAAGGAACAAAATATACATCTATCAAGGTTTACCTGAGAATATTTTGTTTTTCACCCAAGCTTTATCTACATAGCACATGGTAATCAAAAGTACCAGACTGGTGGAACTAACCTTATTGGATGTTTAACAGCCATAGTTTGAGGCCTATACTAATGTGGTCAGAGGGACTTAAAGGACAGTTTTTGCCCCTTGCCCTCCAAGGTCCACTAAGTTCCAGGGGACTATAGAACATATCTCAAAACATCCTACAACTGTGGTGAGTCACCTGTCCTCTTGCTCAGGGAGGACACGGAGATCCCACCAGATAGACTTGAACTAGTATCCAGTCTACAAAGAGGAGGTCAACTCAGAGGAAACATTCCTCCATGCTTCCAAGTGAAGTCAGCCATGGTTGAGCAGGACTTTTGACTTATCTTCACATTGATGGAACTGGTAAAAGAATGGAGCCAGGGGCTCCTCCCAAGCCCATGTGACCCCCAAGGAACAGATCCTCAAATGACCTTAAGTGTAAATATAAATTGATTTATTTGGGCCAAGTGTATGGTCTTAAACACCCAAAAGGAAAGTATAACCAAAGAATAAAGTCATCAGTATATTTCTTTAAGAGGTCAAGGGATTACACTTCCCAGACATTAGGCTTAAGTCTATGTAAAAAGTTATCTAGACAATTATTTCTCATTGATGATTTTGTTCCTAACCAGAAAGTGCTGCTCACATGTAAGAGTTCAAATCTTGGTCTCTAATACTGTAGTGCCCACCTGTAGCTAAGGAGGACAACCAGCTATTATTCTAAAATGATCGATAAATTGGTTTTCTCCCCCTATTTAAAAGCCTTTTAGAGGGAACTGACACTGATTCTAACTATTCCAACAGCTATAAATTTTCTGAAAGCAAATCCTGAATCCATCACTCTAGAGTCCAGCCTTGGAAGACAAAAGAAAAATGAGGATGAACCCAATAGAGGGATGACATCAAGAAATTCCAATGGTCTCTCATATGAACATTTGAAAATTGCCCTGTTCTGATTTTTTTCGAGTTCCCTGTGTGGAACTAGTAATGCTAATTACTCTTGCCTTTACTTCTCCTTCATATCTCCTATTCACCAGTCAGGACTTTCTTTTCCCCTTACAGATAAGAGTTATTCAATTTGGGAGTCTTTTAGATAGCCCCACTGAAGGGGTTCCCCAATTGCCTCACCCTGAGTCCCTGTTCAGCATGAAAGAAGCCAGAGCAGTCTGTGTTCTGATTCCCTATCCACAAGTTGGGTAACCTCTTCAAAGGATGATGTGATAAGAATAGGAGGTAGGAATTGGCTAGGCAGTTAGTGTAAAAAGATCCCAAACAAAAGTAGCCAGTTTCTTGGCTAAAGTCAAAATGTCATCGGGCCTCTTAGCAGCATACTCTGTTCCAAAGGTGAAAAACGTCTAAAGTATTTGGGAGCACTTATCTAATCCTTAAAAGATTTTAGGGTTACCTTTTCAGAGGGGGGAATGTTAGAGTAGCAAAAAGCCCTGGGCATGGTGGCGCACACCTTTAATCCCAACACTTGGGAGGCAGAGGCAGGCAAATCTCTGTGAGTTCAAGGGCAGCCTGGTCTACACAGTGAGTTCCAGCCAGCTGGGGCTACAGAGAGACCCTTTCTCAAAAAGACAAAAATAAATAAATAAACAAGTAAAGTATTTTTTAAAAAAACATTACTACTCCCCCAAATTTCTAAATACTAAGTCAGTGTCTCTGTTATTATTCAACAAGTATTATTTACATTTTTCCCTGTACCACTCTATGTGTATGAAATTCTCCATAAATTATTTTTTTTAAAGAAGAGGGAGGAAGAAATCCAGGAGGTTTCCTAGGAGAGGAAATCTTTGTTTCATTAAAGAGTTCTGTGGGCAGCACTGCAACTCTATGTATTCTGAAAAGAGCAAACACTAATAACTGAAAGGCAGCAAAAAATGCAAAAGTATAAAAATCTGGGTGATTTTTAGACCTATATAAATGTCTAAAATTAAAATGTATGTGTATTAGAAATGTTTATTTTGCTCTAATGCATTTTATTCAGACTAGAAATGAAAGAAAGCTAATAAAGGAGAAAATGAAACAAAATAATGATGAAAAAAGCCAGGTTCTATAGAATGCACCTCAGAGAGTAAATACATTTTTAATAAATTTGCCAAACTGTTATTGCTTACTTTTATGAAACCAGGAAAATGCTTGTTATAGTTCCTTAATTTCACCAAAGGTTAAATAGTGCAGTCTACAAATTCCAGAGTGGCTAATCATAGGGAAGATTCTGGAAAATGCAGGAACAAATATATCAGTCTGATCTAATGCTCTGTGAATGTCACTTTCAGAAAATAACTGAAAATGACCTAATAAGATGCATTTTGCTGACCTCTTTTCTGCACTCAGCACCACTATCAAAATAATGGCAAATGTAATGTCCTGGCAATTGAGGCTGGCAAAATACTACCTAGACTCCCAATGTCATGAGTCACAAAATCTCACTGTTACTGTCCCAGAATAACAAAATGTTGTAAGTTACAGAATTTCTCACATTTTTCTTTCAGAAAGCTTTAAAAATTGTATCACACTTAATGCAGAAGTTTGGAATTCTTCCGACTTCATGGCTTATCTTGCAGTATATTTGGCACACAGTAGGACTTTGGTAAACATCCTTGTCGCAAAAATAGATTACCCAGAAAAGCATACACTCAACAGATGCCAGAACCAAAGGCTGCCCATTGGCATATGTAGCCATATCAAAACTCTGCCATGAGATTCAAGATCAAAATGAGACTTTAAATAGGAAAAGAAATTGAAGATTTCTGATAGAAAGCCACCTTCTGGCCTTTCCTCTTCCAGCGACCTGCTGGCTCCACTCTTTTTGACCTAGGTCTTCTACCTCTGCAAAACCTGCTCTGAATCATAAATAACTTCTAAGATACAAATCATGTCTACAGACTATGCTGGGGAACAACACTCAGTAGAAGTATTCTCTGTGAACGATGTGCACGAATTTACAAAAATGAGGCCAGTAAGTACCCCACTTCTATCCCAGATAGACCAAAATGCAGAATTCTCCAGCTGTCATCCCAATTAGAAGTGTTGTTTGGATATGATACTCATCCTGAAATTACCAGCAACTTCATTTATACATTCCCCAGCATCCCAGATTGTACCTAAATTCCAGAATCATTTGGCTGTGATTTGATACAGAATGCTTCACCACCAGGTGATTGATTGCAGGCTCAAATATCCCCCTGGTATAAAACTGCAATGTGAACAATAGAAAGACTAGAAATCATCACTTCAACCTGCACTACCTAAAGTGAAAGCCAATTCAGCAAGTTTTGGGAATGTATGGCCCATGAACTCTGTACTCCAGGTTGAGCTCTTTATAAAGCCTGACTCATAATAGGAGGAGGGAAGGAGGACCAGGGGCTGTGAGGTTGGTCTAGAAAGGCCTTGGCAGCAAGCATGGATTCACCTTGAATCAAGGAACACAAGATGGCTGCCTGTCTTACCAAGCGGAAGATGCCAAAGAGCATGGCAGATGGGTGAGGAAAAAGTCTTTTGGGTCTCTGTGGCCCAAGTTTGCATGGGAGGTGTCCTCATGGCCCCAACTCATTGGAGCACAGTATAAGGTAAATAACTAAGAAAAACTCCAGATTAAAGGAGCCCTGTACTCACTCCACATAGTTTCTGATTCCTTGATCATTTCAGGGGCCAAGAAATAAATTGGAACCATTGATAGCAAAAGGACATTCATCCTAGACCATAGCAACAATCAAGGGAGACTTATTTTTATTGATTTTTTGTGTATTTCACACAGAAAATCTCAAACAATTTTAATCATCTTTATACTCCCATCCCCTCCAGGTCCCTCCCTTAGACCCCCCACTGGAACACATATACTCTGTCATCCGTGCTAAAGCCTACTGTGTCAAGTCAGGATCCCCAGACATTCGCCAGTGCAAGTCCATCCACTGAGGTCTAGTCAGCGCCCCTTGTTTTAGGAAGATCAGCTCTTTTTCACCTAGCAGTAATCAGTTGTCAGCATTTCTCAACTAAGATTGGGTCTGCTGTTCGTTTCCCCAGTTCTATGCTGTGTTTCTGTCTATCTGAGTTTGGATAGGACTTCTATATGCTGACACCATTGCCATAGAATTATATGAGCACTGTCCCAGGAGCTTGTAGGGCTCTGTTTCCATATGGTCATGCAACTCCTCCCTGGTTCTTACAATCTTTCTGTCCCCTCTTCCTCAATGCTTCCTGAGCTCTGAGTGGGTGAAGTTTAATAAAAGAGTCCTGTCCAAGGATGAGCATTCTGCAGACTCTTAATCTCTGCACTTTGGTCATTTGTGACCTTTTGTGTTCCTGGCCTCTGTTGCATGACAGATCTTTATTAACGAGAACTGAGAGATTCATTAGTGTCCTCTTCTTTACCACTGTTCTATGTTCCTTGAGCCTTATGTGTAGAGGTTGCATTGTAGATGTGTCACTTAGGTCTGGGCAATTCATAGACAATATCTGTGTAAGTAGTTGTACTTGGTAATAGTCTCTGACTGGAAAATAAGATTTTTTGATGAGTGGTGACTGGGATATCTGTCTGCAAATATAAGGTTACATAATTTGCACATAGTAAGAAATAAATTATTCTAGGGATGTGACAATCTTGTGAGAACTCTTAATCAAAAGCCTGTGCTCTAGGGCTGGTTTGTCATCAGTGGGACCTGGATAAGTCATCTCAATACTCCGTTTCAGTTTCCCAATTGCAAAATCAGGAATACACCTCTTAATTACTTTGAACAGGGTGTGGGACAGATGTATAAGATGATAGTCATTTGTCACTTAATTTCATTATCATCTTGTGTCTTCACTGTTAAATATTTGAGATCCACAGTGGATGAAACACCAAGATATAGTCCATGACTAAATAATCATTTCTTGTTATCTTATATCTCTTAGTTCTCATGCTTCTACATTTCAAATGTTCACATATTTATACTAAAGATAAATTTGCCTCCAAAGACATGATCTCCTTTGGGAATATATAGAAACTGTCGATCTATTATCAACCTCTGAATGAGCAAGTGGCAACATTATCTGTAAAATACATCCCAGTTTCATGAAAGAAATAAAGCAAGTTCCTAATTGGTGACCATTAAAATATCTTCTCAGTGGAGAGGTTGAAAACACAAACCTGAAGGGCAGTGGACTATCAGAAGGCAATTGCCCTGGGTGACAGGAAGCACCGAGTCTTATTAAGAAAGACTTTTCATGGGGTTATTCTCCCAGATAGAAGGGTCCAGACTTACAGTCATTGCCAAGCATCCACCTCTCCAATCAAAAACTAACAATGGAGGGGAGGCAGCTGACAGGGAAAATGCCCATTAAAGACAGAGCCAACAATTAGCATTGGATGCCAAGAGCTGTTTGACTGCACCCAGAAGGTCTCCTGCAGGGAGGTCAGTTTTCTTGGTTTATTAAGAAAGGAAGTAGGTAAAGGGTCCAGGATCTGGATAATGAAGTGAAGAGATTTTGTTCAGGCTTTACGCTAAGCTATGGAGTGTAAATAAGAAACGAAGACTGAAGCATTACAAAAACAGCACAGAGAATGAATTTTCATGGACCGGTGGACAACAGCTATTAGTTTTTTCTCCCATGAATCCTAGGATGCTTTGTCTCCCACAGACTCCAATCGAATGCATCAATAAACCCCACCCTTCTTCTCCTATGCCTTTTTCAGAATCCAGAAACCCAGCGAGCACTCCACATACTACAAAGAGGTATACAGTGGGTAAAATATGCTTTAAGTGACTTCCATTCTGGCAGCTTCCTATTCAGAACATCCTCTGTATTGTTCATCAAGTCTCTGGGCTCTGCTCTGACCACATCGCTTCATCAAGAGAAGTGGCAACCTGCTCTTCTTCCCTCAGAAAGCACATGAGGAGCTGTGGGGGTCCCTGCAGTTATGGCTAATATTTTATTCCCCTGAGGCCCCCAGTAGGCACCCCAGACAGGAATCTGTTTGCCTGCTCACAAGGGAGTCACCCACTCCAATCACTCCCAAGTTCCACACACACACTCTGTGCCAAGCTTGTCATATTTATTCCTGACTACAAATGAATACTCCAGTGAGCATAAAGGGCATTTACAGGACAAAGGAAAAGGAGCTGGAGACAGTGTTACACAGGATGTTACCTTTGATTTAGCTTCTTCCCCAGGACTTCCTCAAACACATTCTAAACATGCAATATCAACCAGGCAGTCATATTTAATATGAGCAACCTTGAGGCCAACCTGAGAGTCCAGCATCTCTACTGGGTCCTTTTCCTCTGGAAAATCCAAGGGCTGCTTACCTGGGGGATGTATTGCCTTGGAATCCCACGCAGTCTGCAGTAGTAACTGAGATGTTCCCAACCAGTCAGGAGCTCATCCAGGGTATCCTGCTGCGGACAGTAGCCAATGAGAATGCCTGCCTGGTAAGCAGACTCCAGATCCACCGCATCTCTGTGCACACAAGTAGAGCAGGCTGAGAACAGGCCTCCTGAACACACAATTCATCCCTTAAATCTGGCTCAACAATCAGTCTATTGTCGTTAACTGACCATAGTTAACTAATTTAGCACAAACAGGCTCCCCTAATGAGAAATGAAGGGGACCAGAAAATGCCACTCAAAAATATGCATCTTGGGCAGAGGAGATACTTTAAGCTTAAAGGGAACTGAAAATCAGCAAACTCCAGGAAAGCTGTTTATCTCTTCCCAGAAGGCTGAGATAGAGTACAAACTTCCCCCTCGCAAAGGAAACATCTACTTGCAAAGACTGGGGCCAAATAGAAACATAAGGAGATGACACTAATTTGTCAGGCTTTCCCTCTCTTGCCCAGAACTTTCCTCCCTATCCAAAACCCCCAACCCCCTTCCCTTTGATGAAACTGGTGTGGAAGCCCCATTCTTCCAGCCCATCATTTGCTCCTCTCTCCCTCCCTCTCTTCCTTCATATCTTCTCTCTCTCTCTCTCTCTCTCTCTCTCTCTCTCTCTCTCTCTCTCTCTCTCTCAATATCTACTTTCTTCCTGGCAAAACTCTTTCTTGAATATATACAATCAAATATGCCTTTTATTAGTTTAATTTCCAAGGCCCTAACAGAGAGCCTAAGAGCGTAGAGGGAAGAACTGTTTCCTCCTCCTTCCAGGAGCAACCCATGAGCTCAGTAGACGCTCCTTTCCAAATCAGCTTGTGTTAGTCATCATAACCATGATAAGCTTGGATGTTAAAAGAAAAAGTGTGTGTGTGTGTAGCACTGAGCTTTATTTTTTAATTATGTTTATTATTTTCCATGCATTCATGTGCATGTGGATGCTGGCCCATGTCTGGAGCTCAGAGGACAATGGGGGTTCTCTCCTTCCACTGTGTGAATCTTAGGGATCAAACTCAGCTTGTCCATCTGGTGGCAACTACCTCTATCCACCAAAGCAACTCTGTGAATAATCAATGCATTAATCCTTAAAATTTCAATTACAGATTTTATAATTCAAGTTAATTGGAACTATCATATGTCAACTTTCTTTGAATATATGAAAGATAGACAGTAAACTTAACGGGCCCAATTCTCAGTGGTTTCTACACAATAATTACCACTAATCCTGGAGTGAAGGTTATGTAAAAACATACATATTTAAAGACATGGATAAAACATACATATTTAAAGACATGCATAAAATGATGTTGACCATGAAGAATCTTAAGGACACTTTGGGAAAGAAAATTTCTCTTCCTAAATTCAAGTGTTATGAAAAGAGAGAGTTGCTGAGAAGGTGTGATTACTACTGGGATTCTAAGCACTTAAAGAAAAAGCACAGTGAGGAATTAATGATCATTTAATTTCTATCAAAGCAATATATATGTACATGAAATATGCAAACAAGGGAAGAAAACATGGATTTGTGCAAAGAAAAAGTCAATATGACTTTGATTTCTCTACCTCTCTGGTACCCTTTTCTGAAACTAGTAAGAGTTACACATTAGGGGGTGGAGAGATAGTTCAGTGATTAAGAGCACTGGCTGCTCTTGAGAGGACCTGGGTTCACTTCCCAGAATGCACATGGTGGCTAACAACCATCCTTAACTCCAGTTCCAGGGGAATCCACACCGTCTTCTAGCCTTGTGGTCATTGCAAGACACAGGTGCACTTACATTCATGAAGGCAAAGGACTCATACAAATAAATTTTTAAAAAGAGTTATACATTAGACTTCGGTTTCTTCTTAAGTAAGTGGGGCCAAAGTTTTTCTCAATCTGATTTCTGTTGCACAATAGATATTTTCTATTTGTCACTCAAAAATTTTATCAGCCTATTTTGAGTCTTTATGACACAATGAGATGTACTTGCATGTGTTCAATGACCTTACCTAGGATATTATAATTCTGTTAATTATACCAGTATATAATATCAGGATATATATTTCATCTGCTTCTGAAAATTTCTCTCTACCTTGTATTTTTTCCTAGTCTATTTTATTGTGATAAGACACAAAATTTACCACTTAATGTGTACACTTTGATGGCACTAATATTCATATGGCTTTCAATCATCTTGCACTGTGGTTCCAGAACCAGTGCTCCCCTATCCATCTCTTTCTCCTCATCCCCTGATGCTGCTGGTCTGTGTTTGCTCTTTATGGGTTTGCCTGTTCCAAGTATTCTTCACACAGTAGATATGAACACACACCCTGTGGAGCCTTTGCATGTCCTACTAAGAATGCAGACTCATTAGTCTTTGTGCATCTGACTTTTTTATTTTTGATACATATTTTCAAGGTCACTTCAGATTAAAAGATTTATTAACATTTCATTGAGCTCCTTTTTGTGTGCAAGAGTGTGTTGGCTGCTTGTAAGTATGTACACCATGTGTATTGAGTGTGCACAGAGGCCAGAAGAAGGGATCGAATCACTTGAAACTGGATTCACAGATTTTTGTAAGCCACCATGTGGATGCTGGGAACCAAACCTGGGTCCTCTGTAAGAGCAGTCAGTGTCCTTAACCACAGAACCATTTCTCCAGCCCCTGTATTCTCTTCAATGATAAAAATGTCCTTAGTAGTTATAATTAAAATGCTGCCTTCATATTGGGTATGAAAAACTAAAGCTCATGCAATGCAGCTGACCCTGAGTTCAGTAAAGAGCCTGTCCTTACATACCCCCTGCACTGGCAACATTATAAATTTAATTCCAGAAAGGGAATATAGAAAGGTACTGTACTAAAAGAAGAGGAAGTAATTTTTTAACAAAATTAAGTGCTTTTAGAGCACTTTTCCTCTTACCGGAAGTTTGAAAATGTCATCGCAAGCTTCCATATGCTCTCACTCCTTCCACTTGGGGTGTTCCCATTAGAGTGGCTTGCATCAGCATTGTAGGTTTGTAATCACAGAAGAACTAACACTGACCTACCATCCAAGTCTGTCATTTATACTGTGGTTCACATTTTGTGTTGCAGTGCTGTTTTATGCACAATAGAGCATCATAAATAATAGTTTCGCTAACTTAAAAATCTAACGAGCTCCTTCTATCCACCCTTCCGCTCCCCCTGCCAAACTTTCAAGATCACCTTTTCTTGCTATGGTTTTTCCTTGTTTAGAATAGCAGAGAGTTGGAGTAACATGAAACGTTTCGTGCCTTCCTTCACATAATAGTATGCTCTTAAGTTTTCTTCATGTTATGCTGAATGAATGTGCACCCCAAAATTCATTTGTTGAAAGCTAACGCTCCAAGTAATGATAGTAGAGGTAGAGCCTTTGAAATTAGATATAAGCATGAGAGGTTCAAGAATAGGTAAGTGCCGTGATGTTTAGTAAGTATCAGTCTGACTGAATTACATCTTGACAACTGGTAAAGCAGTCCTTTGGAGTGTGTCTGTGAGAGTGTTTCCAGAAAAGACGGGCATGGAGAGCCACACTCAGCAGGAAAGCACCGTCCAACAACAAATCTTCGCCCACAATACCCACACCGACCTACTACCCCTTCTAGGCCTGGGCTGTAGGGCCAGATAAACAAAAGAGCAGAGGAAAGCAAATTCACATACCTCCCCCACCCCCCATTTTTTGTACCCTTTTCTTTCTACCCTTGGCCATTAGCACACCATTAGAACATTGCACTTTGGGCTGTAGGAACTGTATCAGCTACTCCCTGGCTTTTGGGTGAGACCTACACTATCCACTTGGCTACTTCTGGGGTTTGGGGACTTAGATTGAACCACATTACTGGCAATCCTGGATTCCCCTTATGAAAAGCAAATGGCCTGTTGTGAGACTTCTCAGGCTCCACAATCACATGAGCAAATTCCCCCAACAGAATACATCTTGTCACTCGCCTTGCTTGTTTGTTTTTCATTCTGTTTTGTTTTGACTTGGTTTTGTGAAACATGGTCTCTCTATATCCCCAGTTGGCCTGGAACTCCCTTTGTAGAGAAGGCTATCCTGCATCTCACAGAGATTCCCTGCCTCTGAGCTGTGTGCCACCATACCTGGCTTGTCGTTTTTGTCAATCTAAAACATTTTATTTCTATGCAGGTTTCAAATCCTTAATTGAAGCTGTTCAGAAAAATCTGGTCCCAGAGAAAGTGGACAACTGAATGCAAGCCATAACCATGTAGTAAGCAATTACAGGTATGCATCCCAGAGAGAAGGAAAATTCACGAGGGTGCCTAGTACATGCTCACCTGTGGCTAAAACTCATGCCCTCTGGACAGAGGAAGAGACAGGAAGAGGTGCATAAAGTGGCCCCCTAGAGGCTGAAGGGCTGAGCAGAGCTGGAATCACCCCTCTGAGTTAAAAACTCAAAGATTTGGGTTTACAAAGACAGACCAGACCTAAAGAGCCCATAACCCAGAGGAATCTGTAAGTGAAACCTTCTACCCAGATGCACTGCTCAGTTCCTTCACCACAGAGGCCCACAACAAAGAGACACATGAATGACAGAGCTCTACAGAGCTAAAAGTGAAGCAGAGGTATACAGTTTACAATAAACCATGGAGATGAGCTAAAGCACAGGAGTGAAGAAAACAGACGTTGGGACTCGGTAACTGAATGTGGTTTTCACTGGGGACCATCGAACACTGAAACCCTAGGAGAAACAGAAACAGGTAAGAGAAAAAAGGGCTCTTTAATCCAGTCACCTTGCATTCTGAGTTTTATAATATGATTTTTTATTCTAATTACATGCTAAAGCCAAATGGAGCTCTTGTTGGAGGGAATAAAATAATCCAGAGGTTTTAATATGTTTATTCAATGGAGCTTTATATAAGAGGTTGAGTTGTGATACACCAAAGAATAAGCACATGAAAAGCTGAAATCCTAACACCCTGTACTTAGAATTGTGGCTTTCTTTGGAGATGTATTTTACTGTTAAAATTAAGTTTGAATGAGATCATTAAAGGGGCTCTATCCCATATGACTGGTGTCCTTATGCAAAAGGCGAATCTGGACATGGGATATGCATAACAGGATGGTGTG